GTTTTCTAAAATTCAGAGTATCTGGGATTTTAAAAGTAGCACTTTTTAAAAAGTTCAACAAGTCACATAACACTTAAAACATCAAAAAAGCTTTCTGATAAAAAGCTCAGCTTTTAAATCACGTTTTGTTTCTGCAAATTTGGGAGACAAATTGAGTTCTTACTGGAATGTGGCCTATGGCTGGTTGACAACTCTGAAATGGAATGTCTCCAAATGGCAGTGCCTCCCTTTCCGCCCTCCCTAGGACCACACCAACAACCAGCTCCCAAGCACAAGTTCTTGCTCCCATTTTTTTGTAGGGGTGGGGGTGGGACCTTCAGGCTGCTATCTTCGCCATCTGCTGTTCTAACTTGGAAATACGCTCATCTTGATTGCAGATTGTGTCTTTTATAGATTTGATCTCTTTTAAAATCTCATCCAACTTGGCTTCATTTTGCTAAGAAAACAAACAAAAAAAGGAGGCAGTGATTAAAATGCAGTAAACAAAGTTCAACACAGTTCAAAACTTGTAAGATATAAAATGCAGTTTTCTGTTTTGCAAATGGCAAGCCATAGTCACCAAGTTGAAAAGAGACATCAAAGCCCTACTGCATCTGGGGCTTTGAACCCAATGAGCACTGGCCGATCTAGCTGAAACCCTGTGGCAAAGCGACTGTGTCACAGTGTCACAGTGCCACTTCTGATCCCGAAGCCTGTGCATTTACTCAAATAAAGGGTCTCCTGGGTCCCAATTAGACTATAGGACAAAACAGGCTCCTTCAAGAGTGCCCTACATCACAACCACCCCAATCATTCCATCAAGAGTAACTTCTATCTGACCAGAGCGAGGGCTGACTCTCCCAGAGGCTACAGAGCTCCTGCCATCTGTGACGGAGGCTCCTTCTTGGGAGGGAAACCCTTGCCCTGTGTGTCCACTCCTCCTCTCTTACCCAGGACCTGCTCTCCCGGCAACAGCAGCACTCTCCAGTGGCCACAGCGAATCAAAGGCAGGCTCGATTCCCTTCACCCCACCACCCAAAGGGCTCTTGACTAAATCCCCCTTGTTGCCAACCCCACACAGCCAGATCCTTCTGTTGTAACCACTTAGCTACATCTGAACACTTGCCACTCCCTCCTTCCAGGGACCTCCTCTCCCTGGTGCCTATGACCCCACGCTCCCATGATATTTTATTTCTACCCAAATCAGAGAAGGAAGACTGATACCTATCCAAATCTTGGTGGTTTGTGGCCACACTTGGTTCCTTTAATGGGGCTAAAGGAGCTTTAACTCCGTTAAAGGAGGCAAGTGTGGCCACAAACCACCACCATCCCGTGACCGAGGACCTTCTCCCACTTTTTCATTTACTGAAAACCCCCGTGCACCCAGCTGGGACAGTACTCGCCGACGCCCCGGACCACAAGGGCTTTCCAGACGATAAAGCCCGAACCAGCCAAGCACCCCTGCACTCCAGTCAGTGGTCCTCACCACACTGGCTGTGTCTGTAGTTTTCTTGGGGACGCTGATCAGGTCGCACTTCTTGTTTGCAGTGGGCTTGCTATCCAGAATGTTCTTCTTGACCACCTTGAGATCCCTGTTTTTGCCTGGAATATACCCGTGCTTCAAGGAGATGAGGATTGGGTCTGCATTCTTGCCCTCGAACCACTCTTCTGCCTCCAGCGCGGCCTCTGGCCCCGCTGTGTCAGGATACAGGTCATCTTGGAAAAGGTCAGACTACAAGAGACATTTGGCACCCACGGGTAAGGAAGAAGAAAGGCCTGGGATTTTTGAATTTCATTTTTACATTTGTTTAAAACATGGATTGTCTAGAAAACTGAGCACTCACCTTCCTGGGAACAGTCATGATAATAGGTTCACACTTTCTCTCATGAAGTTTGAAGAATCTTCAGAGGGGAAATAAAGGCAAAGTTGCATTTAGTGAAATATGAGGTTGACTAACAGGATGAATAATGAGTTTTCTACAATGTTGTCTGAAATGTCAAGTGCCTCTTTACCCATCCCCGCAACTGATCCACCCTGGGAATAGGCAGAACTTAGTGTTCCTAGTTGACAAGATGACAGAACGGAAGCTGAGAGTCACTATGCTAGGAAATGGCAGACTGGAGACAAGAACCATGAGTAGAGGTCTATGTATGATGCCAATTATCTGGGGGGCAGACAAACTGGTAGAAATAATAGCAACACTGAAACTGACTCACTTGTGAAAAAATTACCATGTCAACATACAGGAAAGAACACACATCTGTTAGACTGTATCTACAATGCAACGTGGGTACAAGGTCTTCTGCCAGCTTGAGGTGGTTGAACATGTGTAAGTATAAATATGACTTTTAGAAAACAAACAAAAAAAATCGTAGGATTATGATTTTCCCTTCCAAGCAAACCACCTCGTACACAACACTCAAGAAAAAATGTGAAACTATCCAAAATGTGGAAAGAGAATGTAAAGCAACTTGCACTGTAATATTGGAAGAAGGGAGCAAAGAGCTCTGTAATGGGGAAGAAAGGTAAAACATTTTTGTTTGTATTGTACAAGAGAACTAAACAGACCAGAAATGACTTCTCTTATGATGACTCTGATAAGGTCAAGCCAATTTTCTTTGTCAGTCAAGATGGGAAACAATAAAAAAATCTCTCTAAAGCTCCTGGCAAAAGAGGTGGCCTTAGTGAGCATTCTGACCAGATCACCAGATCAAATGGCTGGTGTGCAAGGGGGGAGTTGAGTGTGGGCGTCAATGCTGCTGGGGAAATGTTTTTTGAATTCCAAGAGTTTAAGTCAGAGAAGACACGGCCACATCAAATATGCAAAACCAGTGAAACTCATTTCTCCTGGAAACCTGCAGCCTTTGGCATCTGATACTGGGCAGGAGTCCATTGAAGACAACCTGGCAGATACATTGCTCTAACGCATCAGGGGAACAAAAGCTGAGTAGAGCTCAGGGTGGTAAAGGTTTATAAAATCATCGTCCTCTTTAAAGGGAAGGTTGTGTCAAATGTGCCTCTTCACTATTTAAACCAAAAACCAAAAGAGTCCCAAATAAACCAAAAACATTTTTTTTTTTTTTTTTGAGACCGGGTCTTGCTCTATCGCCCAGGCTGGAGTGCAGTGGCACAAGCTCACTGAGGCCTTGACCTCCTGGGCTCAAGCAAATCCTCCCACCTCAGCCTCTGGAGTAACTGGGACCACAGGTACATACTACCACACCTGGCTAATTTTTTTAATGTTTTGTAGAGACAGGGTCTCACTAGATTGTCCATACTGCTCTTGAACTCCCAGGCTCAAGTGAT